CCTTCTCGAAGGTATTTGAAAAGTACAATAAAAAACAAGTTAAACATTTCAAGAAGTTTATATAATGATATTAATAACAAACTTGTAGCAATTGAACATATTATAGACAGCAAACATTGTGAATTTCTCATCAAGGCAACAAGAGCTGAATTCAGTGAAATACAATTAATCTTAAAAACAAAACTAAGCGAACATATGAAACCCGTTTCCTTTAAATCAACGGTATATGCAATTATTTTGTCCAATTATTTAGCAAAAACACACATTATGGCTTTTGACATGAAAACAGCTACGTCCATCGTACAAACGTACGATGGAACAGCTGACAATTTGGACGCGTTTATTGATGCAGCCAATTTACTAAAGGATTATGTGAAAAATGAACAAGTTGCAACAGCTGTTCGATTTTTAAGAACAAGACTGACGGGTAAGGCTAGATTAGGTTTACCTGAAAATTTGAATACTATCGACGCAATCATCAATGACGTAAAAGCAAGATGCTCGGAACAAGTGTCTCCTGAGAACATCTTGGCTAAACTTAAAAGCACTAAACAGAAAGGCGACGCAAACAGTCTTTGTGATGAAGTTGATAATTTAACAAACAAACTAAAAAGTATTTATGTCGGACAAGGCATCCCGGATGGGGTAGCTAAGTCCATGGCGACCAAAGCTGGTGTTGATGCTTTGATTAATGGTGTCAACAATTTTGAAACCAAGCTTATCCTGAAAGCAGGAAATTTTTCGAATATAAAAGAAGCTGTACAAAAAGTGCAAGAAAATAATTCATCAACACAAACAAATTCTCAAAACTCTGCACAAGTTATGACTTGTAATACACAGAGAAATAATTTTTACCGAAATAATCGTGGGCGTAGATTTAACAACCGTGGTGGCAACTCTAGTACTCCACGGGATAGAAACAACCAACATAACAATAGAAACAATAACAGACAACAAGGACGTTATCAACATCAAAACAACAACAACAATAACAATTATTATAATAGAGGTGGTCGACGGGACAATCGTCCTCGACAAGTGTATGCTACAAACGCAGCACAAGTACAACCAGTGGTACAAAATATGCCTTTTGGACCATATGCAATTCCACAGGCACAAAATTTACAACAAATTGCAGTTCCCGCAGGAACGCCACAGCAAAATTTAAATTTTTTATGCCGTGCGAATCAGGGTCCAACACCCCAACAACAGTTTATACAATAAACTTGAATGCAGTTAACTTTGTGACTTTGTATGTCCAAATGACAAACTGTAAATGTACATTTATTGTAGATAGTGGAGCTGATGTTTCCTTATTTAAAGTTACAAAAGTTCCTCAAATGCAAATAGTAGATTTAAATAAAAAACTAAAAATTACAGGCGTAACAGCTGGAGTCACAGAAACTATAGCTGAAGCTCAAACTTATCTTACATTTGATAATAATTTTAAATTAGCTCATGCTTTTCAGTTAGTTAATGAGAACTTTCCTATACCTACAGACGGTATACTTGGACGTGATTTTTTAGTCAAATTCAGGTGTACCATCGATTATGATAATTGGTTATTAAATTTTAATTTTAAAAACCATTCAATTTCTATACCAATTGAAGATAAAATTAATAATAGTATAATATTACCACCAAGATGTGAAGTAATTAGAAAATTACCACATTTCGGAGTAAATGAAGATACAATTGTTCTTTCACAAGAAATACTTCCAGGTGTTTTCTGTGGAAACACTATTGTATCAGCTAACTCACCATACATAAAATTTGTAAATACAACGCATAAACAAGTAGCAATTTCAAATTTCAACCCTAATGTGAATCTTTAAGTAATTATGTTAAAGTAAACAAATCAAAAGGAAATCTACCTAAACAACAGGAAAGAATTCAAAGCATTCTTTCACAAATTAATTTTAATGAAATTCCCGCTTATGTTCATTCATCATTAAAAAAGTTGATTGAAGAATATTCAGATATTTTCAGTTTAGAAAATGACAAATTGACACATAACAATTTTTATTCTCAAAACATCGTTCTAAATGACCAAGTACCGGTCTATATTCCCAATTATAAGACCATTCACTCACAAGGAGATGAAATGGCTAAACAAATTCAAAAACTTTTGGAAGATGAAATAATCGAACCATCAGTTTCTTCGTATAATTCACCAATTCTCTTAGTGCCTAAGAAATCTGGCAATAATTCAAACAAAAAATGGAGAATGGTAGTTGATTTTCGACAATTAAATAAAAAGGTGTTGGCAGATAAATTTCCACTGCCAAGAATAGATGTAATTTTAGATCAATTAGGAAGAGCAAAGTACTTCAGTACACTAGATCTAATGTCTGGTTTCCACCAGATACCGTTAGATCAAGAATCTAGAAAGTACACTGCTTTTTCCGCTCCTAATGGTCATTTTCATTTCAAAAGATTACCATTCGGTATGAATATTAGTCCCAATAGCTTTCAGCGAATGATGACCATCGCTATGGCAGGGCTAAACCCCGAATGTGCATTTATTTACATCGATGACATAATAGTCATCGGTTGTTCAGAAAACCATCATTTTCAAAATTTAACCAGAGTATTTGAACGTTTGAGACAATACAATCTCAAACTAAATCCTGCGAAATGTAAATTTTTCTTGAATCAAGTGACTTATCTTGGACACAAAATTACTGATAAAGGAATTCTTCCAGATGACTCTAAATTTGAAGCTTTAAAGAATTATCCTAAACCAACAAATATTGATGAAGTACGTAGATTTGTAGCTTTCTGTAATTACTACCGAAAGTTCGTACCAAATTTTGCCGATGTAGCACGACCACTAAATGCATTGTTGAAAAAAGGAACAGTATTTCAATGGACAGAAATCCAAGAATACAGTTTCCAAAAACTGAAAAAACTTTTAATGGAACCGCATATATTGCGATACCCAGATTTTTCGAAAGAATTCATTCTTACCACAGACGCTTCTGATGTCGCTTGTGGCGCAGTTCTGTCTCAGCGTTATCCAGAAGGTGAACTACCAATTGCTTTTGCTAGCAAGAGTTTCACACAAGGAGAACGAAACAAACCAATAATTGAAAAGGAATTGACAGCTATTCATTGGGCTGTTGATTATTTTAAATCTTATTTATATGGTCGACGATTTACTGTAAAAACGGATCACAGACCACTAGTTTATTTATTCAACATGAAAAACCCAACGTCAAAATTAACTAGAATGAGATTAGACCTTGAAGAATTTGATTTTAAAATTGAGTTTCTAGCAGGTAAATCCAATGTATGTGCTGATGCATTATCTCGCATACCCGGTAATTCAGAAGATCTAAAATCATTATCCGTGCTCATGGTCAACACTAGAGCCATGACAAGAAGATTAAAATCCACTATTTTGAAAAAATCCAAAAATTCAACGATGTCAGATTGTGAGATTGATCACCTTACAGCTTGGCAAACTGAGAATCCTTCGGAAGTTAGAAAATACCTTAAGATTGGTTGTGTTGTGCACCATAATCAATTGAAGATGACATTATTTAATCATAATTATAGAAAAATTTTAGGAAAAATTAACATTAACCTAACGCGCGCGTACAAAATAAATACAAATGGAAGTCAAGCACTAGAGTTTGCACTTCTAGAACTCGAAAAGTTATTGAAACACTATAAAAGAACCATGGTTGCCATCTCGTTGGAAGATGAGCTTTTTACATCAATTTCGATTGAAACTTTAAAAGAAATCGCTAACAGAGCCATTTCTAGTTATCAATTAATACTATTTCAACCACCGAAATTCCTTCAAAATGAAGAAGACATACGAAACGTTTTAATTAATAATCATATGACACCCGTTGGAGGTCATATTGGACAATATAGATTATATCTTAAGTTAAGAGAACATTTTACATGGAAAAATATGAAAAATGACATAAAGGATTTTGTGAAAAGTTGTGAAAAATGTAAACTTAACAAAATTCATAGACATACTAAGGAACCTACTGTCATAACTACAACTCCTACGAAACCATTCGAATTACTTTCGATTGATACAGCAGGACCATTTGGTATGACAGATAACGGAAATCGATACATCTTAACTATACAATGTAATCTAACAAAATACATTGTACTAATCCCAGTACCAACTAAAGAAGCCACCGTTATGGCAAGGGCATTAGTTGATAATTTTATTTTAATTTACGGAAAATTTTTTCAATTACAATCTGATCAAGGTACTGAATTCAATAATGAAGTATTTGAACAGATTTGTAAACTATTAGAAATAAAACAAACATTTGCAACAGCGTATCATCCTCAGACTATAGGAGCATTGGAGAGAAATCACAGATGTCTCAATGAGTATCTGAGATCTTTTACCAATGTTCATCATTCTGACTGGGATGTTTGGACTAAATTTTATGCTTTTTCTTATAATACCACGCCTAATACTGAACATGGTTATACTCCTTACGAGCTTGTATTTGGACGAAAAGCTATATTACCACATGATTTACAGGATAACATTTCATTTGTTCAACCAATGTACAATCCAGAACAATATTTACAAGAACTTAGATTCAGATTACAAAATACGAACACAAATGCTAGAAAAAATCTTTGTCAGCAAAAGGAAAAACGACAGGAAGTATGCAATAGAAACACAAATCCAACAGAATTAAAAATAGGAGATCTTGTATATCTCAGCAATGAAAACCGCAAAAAACTCGATCCATTTTACATAGGACCATTCATAGTAACCGAAATAAGTAACCCAAACTGTAAAATCAAACATAGAGAATCTCAAAAAGAAACAATAGTTCACAAAAATAGAACAATTAAAATTTGAATACATTAAAAATTTATATTTTTGTAAAATTATACACCTACTATACGAACAATTATAAAATTTAAGTATCAACCGAGCCTAACACCCATAAAAAAAAATAATGAACAAGAAAGAATAAGTGAAAAAATGGGTTAGGTGAAAATTCTTAGTCTTGAACTAAGAAGTGCGAAATTCGGTTAGGGTTAAAAATTAAGAGCAATTTTAAAGAGGTTCTTTGAGAATAGCTTTGACGAATGATTTCATTTTATTACATCATTCTCCTAAAGGGGGAAGGTGTAGCATATTTGGTTGTAGCATATCCAATGACTTGAAATTAGGTTGAGCGCAAATGACACGAAACATGCATGCTACAAATATTAACCAAGCCTTCATTTTTGAATCGTATGTTCCCATACTTCTGACCATTAGCTTCGTGAAGGTTTATAATTGATGACTTTGTTGTACAAGTATAAACCTCCACTCCAAGCTAAATTATTGCAAACACTTTTTCTCATGTAACGTGGGAAACGTAGAACAACGACCCATGTTATTGCCACTTCAAAAAAACAAGACCAAACGTAATACGACTCTTTCTCTATCATAACACAAAGTTCCCACACAGGACACTTCTACCCAATCAATAAATTATTGCGTGCGCAAGAATATGCACGACCAGCGCCAAGCGCATCATGTTACACGTGTTGGCGCCGAACTCTCTTTCTCGTTTGGCTTTAGCGTCGATTTCTCTTTGACAAATCGATTCCTTATTGGTTAAGCAAAGATTAGAAGCAACTCCAGGCACCTCCTACCTAAGTGTAGAGAAATGTAAATGTGTAGAATTTAAGTGACATGTAAACTGAAATGCAAAGGAATAAAGAGACGAGATTGAACCGTCAAACAAGATTGTTGATGTCAAGGAAGATATCACAAATCTTATTACAATTCCCACACCGGAGCTGCATAGAGGATCGCAGGTGCTATGATTTGTTTGTAGACAGCCAGTTTGTTCACCCTTGAGAGGCGGGATCTGCGGCAAATCAGCGGATACACTTAACCAAGGCAGAACACTTGACAACAGTTTTCTCTACATGCGCACGGAAGAGGAGCTTTTCATCAAACAACATCCCGAGATAGGTAACTTCGGAAGACCACTCAACCCTTGTGCCATCCATGATTACAGTACAGCCGGTTTTATTTTGGGCGATTGCCGATGGAGGAACATGTTCGCTTGCGTTTTGGAGGGATTGATTTTAATTTTCCACGTGGTGGCATAATCAGCAAAGGCGTTAAGGCATCGTTGAAGTTTGTTCGTTATTTCGCGAGGCATCCTTCCTTTGACGGCTATTGCGGTATCATCTGCGAACAGGAAAAACACGCAACCGTCACCGAGGGGAGGAATGTCGGAAGTGTAAATGCTGTAAAGCAAGGGGCCCAGCAGACTGCCTTGCGGGACTCCTGCTGGGATAAAAAACGTGTCGGAAAGACAACCATTCAACGATACCTTAAACGACCTTTGCTGGAGGTAGTTACGGGTGATTTTAATAAGATGTAAAGGAAAGTTGAAGTTACAAAGCTTGTACACAAGTCCATCATGCCAAACATTGTCAAACGCCTTTTCAACGTCTAACAAGGCCATGGCTGTGGACTTGGATACAGCTTTGTTACTTCGGATGTTATTCATCACCCGTACTAGCTGGTGATTGGTGGAGTGCCCCTTTCTGAACCCAAACTGTTCCGGAAGGAGAATGTTATTTTCCTCGACAAACTTGAGCAAACGATTGAGAATGAGTTTCTCGAACAATTTGCTCAGCGCTGAAAGGAGGCTGATTGGTCTGTAGCTTGAAGACAATTTTGGATCCTTACCGGGTTTGCGGATTGGTATGATTTTTGCTATTTTCCAGATGCTTGGAAAGTAGTGCAGTTCCAAACATCTGTTGAAGATAGCGGTTAGAAGAGACTGCACTTTCATGCTGAGTCTCTTCAAGATCAAGTTAAATATACCGTCAAACCCGGGAGCCTTCATGTTCTTGGTGCCTTTCAGCGCTGAGCAAATCTGTTGTGCTGTAATCATATCCGCCGGAGGTACGACACAAGGGGAGACATCTAGGTTTTGAACGCATTTCGCAACCTGATCATCGAGCGGACTTTGGATAGTCGAGCAAATGCGATGAAGCGACATGCTTGCCGATCGCATTTGCTTTCTCCTGTGGGGTAATTAAAAGCCGATCGTCATCATTTTCGACTTTGAGAGGTGGAACGAGTTTGGGATGATTTTTCAGGACCTTGGATACCTTCCAGAATGGTCTGGAGCGGTCGTCCAGATTCTGGACAACACGCCCGAAACTTTCATTTCGGAGTGAGTCCATTCTGGAAGCAATCTGCCTGTTCAGATCGGCCATTTCACGTTTTTTGCCCAGATCTCCAGTCCTCTGAAACTGGCGTCTACGAACATTTCTCAACCGAATCAATAATTGGGTGTGGAAATCAATAGCAACAAACTTACCCCTCACAGGAACTTGTCGAACACACGCCTCGTCTGCCACGGATATGGCCTGTTGGAGTCCTTCCAACGCCCGGTCGATGTCATCTACAGTGTCGAGCAGTGGATTTTCATCGATGTTGCTGTCCACCATTCGTCCGTACTGCACCCAGTTGACATGGTGGTAGTCTTTACGCAGGCAGCTTCTAGCAGGAACCACGTTGACACCGACTTCAGTCACCACCGGTTGGTGGTCGGAGCTGAGATCGTTGTGCGCCTCCGGCTTGGATAGTCCGATGTTTGTCAGGAAAAAGTCCAGAGTGGAGGGATTTCCCGCCGGAGAGATGAAAGTGGGTTCGTCCGGAAATTTCACAGTGTACAGTCCATGTTGTGCGTGGTCGAACAATAGACATCCATTCCGGTTCCGCTGGTAGTTCCGCCAAGCTTCATGGCGGGCATTCAGGTCGCCCCCAACGATGAATCGGGAGCTAGTACGGGTGATGGCGGTCAGGTCGTTCTTGAATTGAGTTCCTAGTCCATTGTTGGCGGTGCACTGGCGTGGGCAGTAAGCAGCGATAAACCGGACGTTTCCAGTTGGTGATTCCACCTCCACACTAACGGCCTCGATGATAGAAGTGCGGACGTGGGGCAGAGTGCAGAACTTGATTCCCTTACTGACGATGACCGCTACACCCCTCCCCCCCTGGAGCTGGTGCGATCAAGCCGTATAATGTTGTGGTCAGGCAACCAGAAGCTGTCGCCGGACTTTAGATGGGTCTCGGTTCGAAGGCCCACGTCGATGCTGTGCTTGCGGAGGAAGTCGGCAAGCTCAATCTGTTTTGCTTTTACAGAGCAAGCGTTCCAGGTAGCGATGGTAAGCGGTTTAGACACCATACTGGATGATGAACTTACCGAGCACTTGGATCTGTTCGGGTTTATTGCGGCACTTACGAAGAGCACCGGACATGTTGACGAAAATTTCCATCAGTTCATCCGCTGAGAACAGATCGGGGTTATTGTTTTGCGCTGGTGGTTGTCTCTAGAATCCAGGGGGGGATGGAGAGCTTTGGCCAGCAGAATCACCAGAAGTTGCTTGAGCGGAATGCACCCGCGAACTCGCTTGCCTTTGCTGAGGAGCACGAAGAGGCGGGAAATCCTCCGTCCGAAATGCCGGGACTTTGTCCTTCTTGCGTCCTGGTTGGTTGTTAGTTGCCACCTGTTTTCGGATGCGTTTGAAGTCCTCGCGTTTGGAGCACTGTCTGTCGGAACCTTGGTGAGCACCACCACAGTTGGCGCATTTTAATTCCACGGCTCCATCCGCAGGGCAGTCGGAAGTGGCGTGGTCTTGAGCGCAATTGCCACAGCGTGGCTTAATGTTGCAGTTGCGGGTGCCGTGTCCAAAGTTCAGACACCGTTGGCACTGAGTCACATCACGATGGCCGCCACGGTATGGCTCCCAGCGGACGATGATGGAATTGATGGAACGGATGGCCTTCAGCGCGTTGAGCGTCACCGTTCCCTACCAGGAAAAGGCTATCCGGATACGCCTTCACATTTTCGTCCTTCCTTGTCATCCGATAGACGGCACTTGGGGCCAGCTTGTACCGGTCTCTGATTTCAGCTTTGATAAACTTCGGGTCGAAGTTCGGTAGGCCCCTAATGACGACCTTGAATGGCTTCTCACCGGGAATGTCGTGGGTAAAGAATTCCACCTTGGAAGTCCTCAGGTGGACGACGACCAAGTCATACTCCGCTTTGGTACGGAGCACCACCTTGGTGCCGACTCTGCCCAACTTGTATTCGGCTTTAACGCCCAGCGTCGCTAGATCTGCGATGAGCTCATTAAGATGGGCATTTTTCACTACCAATGGTGGTAGCTTCACTTTTGCCGCACTCGGGCCGGCAGAATTTTCGTTGCCAATGGCGTCGCCGAAATCACCGATGTCGCTGGCGTTCGTCGCAGTGACATCGGACTGGCCTCGATTCTCCTTCCTCTTCTTGCTGCGTTTTTCCAACACAACTGGCTGGATATTCCCATCCATGGGGAGAACAGCAAACCTGTTCGAGGTAGGCACACCGGAGCTTCCTTCACCGGGGTTCTGGACCTTCGCCGGGCTTCGCGACCGATGCTTCCCCATTTCGGAGTACACACACACGAACGACAAACCGCGAAAGAGAGAGCGCGAACACAATCGCCACGTACTTTTCAAACAACTCGAGAGAGCGAGCTAACACCGAACTGAACTGCTTGACGATCAAGCAGAGAATGTAAATCTGCATACCAGACGGTACTAAACTTTATGCTTTTTTATGCAACATTTAAGCCCCTTCTATTAAGAGAATTCTGCAAGATTTGTTTTTGGCATAATTCTCTTAATAGGAGGGGCTTAAAATTTGTATCAAAAGGCATAAAGATAGGTACTGTCTAGCATGCTATCACGGAAAAGCCTCGTTTTATGACGTAATTACTCATTTTCGTGCACAAAACGCACTGAACTTTTGCCTTATTCCATTAATAAAAAATATGCGAAAATTGATTGTAGGAATCTCGGATTGATGACCTTGACAAATGTTCAAATAATACTCTTTAGCAAATTTATGGTGGTCCTGGGAAGAACCGTTTTAACATGATGATTGACTAATGCTGAGCTGGGTGTTCAACACGGATGAGGCTGTCGAGCTGTATGTTGTTTGGAGC